CTTCTAGTTTGCAACTCTCTTACTGTGTCTGGTCACAATTGTTATTCCAACAGTTAGCAAGCAGTGGCCATAAGGATTAAATAAAATATATAAACATAATAGTCTAGTAAATACTTAATTATGAGAAAACCCTCTCCTTTGCTACCCTTAGACATGGCATATTTGTTTGCATTTTATGCCTTTGCCTAGAATATTCCATCCTTAGAGACGGGTCAGTTCACAGAGAAGTATTTTCATGTTACCGCTGCTTGTGCTTCCCTAGAAAACATTCTGCTGAGCTCTTAAGTTCGAGCCCTTAGGAAAAGAGGACCCTAGGGTATAAATGGTTGGAGGCCTGGGGTGGGACATTTCTAGAAGCTGATAACTGTCATCAGGGGTGGGCTGACAGAGACCCCAATCATAACAGTATTTAGCAGATGGTTTGAGGAGGCCAGTTTTATAGATGTTGCTGAGGTTGAGTTCATAGGACCAGCAATTGGGCACCTGAAGTAAAGACCTTGGAGGGAAAGCACAGAGGGTGGAGGTGGGAAGACAGCCAAGATAGTGAGGGAGGCCTTCAGCCCTCTGAGATGTGATTTTGGTGGCCTCTTTACCCTCCACGGGGAAATAAACAAGCCACGCCAACAGATTGCGCCCACTGGCACTTCAGAAAAATTCCTTTTGGTTTTTGAGTCTTTGATCCACGTTCAGAAGTCAACACCCTTGACAGTGGCTGCCATTTGGAGCTAACAGTCCCTGCAGTGTCAGTGGAAGATTTGATTGGGGCTTCTTAGAGGAGAACAGGAGGGTGTGTCCACAGAGGAGGCAGAGAGCGCCTGGCACGACGTGTGGCCCGGGGCTCAGGGCCTGACCGCCTCCGAGGACCCAGACCCAGCGGGTGTGTTTGAGGCTTACATAGTTCAGATTTCTGCATGCCTGCGGACGCACTCTTGACATGCCTCTCCTGGCACGTGGTTCCTTCGCAGTCTAAACCCCCAGTCTGGTCGTGGCCGCTTCCTCTCACCAGGGCTGCGAAGGGCCAGGCTTGGGCATCTCCTCCTCCTGCGGTTCTCTGTTCCCTCCCTCCTCCTACATCCCACCCGCCCTCCCAGGACACCCCTTCTCTCCAGCTGCCTGTGACTGTCCCTCCATTCTTTCCTCCTTACCCTGCACCCTAAATGTATCCCCATGAAACAGCGTGATCAGAGTATACACAACAGGCTTATCATCAAAGGGTTGGAAATGCTGGTGTTTGCAAAGTTTGAAAACCTTTTGTTTTTTAGACCTTACGCCTTCTGCAGAGCTCTAATTTCCGAAATCAAATCCTGAATCCCTAAGGAGTGTTCCTCAGTGTTAGTTACTTGTCCAAGAACCTGTTGGTAATCTCTCAGAGCTAGTGTCCTGCAGGACACGGTTTCCAGAAGGGTGGCTGTAATTGGCTGAGGCTCTAGGAGGGTGGGAAGGGGACCACATGGTCCTCCACTGTGGAGCCCCACGTTAGCTGAGTGCAGTTGTATCTGAGTAAGCGCTTGGGGCATTTTTTTAGAACTTTTTTACTGTTGGAAAAGTTTATATAAAATTCACCATTTAGGGCGCCTGGGTGGCTCAGTGGGTTAAGCCGCTGCCTTCGGCTCAGGTCATGATCCCAGGGTCCTGGGATCGAGGCCCGCATCGGGCTCTCTGCACAGCGGGGAGCCTGCTTCCCTTCCTCTCTCTGCCTGCCTCTCTGCCTACTTGTGATCTCTGCCTGTCAAATAAATAAATAAAATCTTTAAAAAAAAAAAATTCACCATTTAAATCATTTTTTTAAATTTATTTATTTGTCAGAGAGAGAGAGAGAGAGAGAGAGCGCACAAGCAGGCAGAGTGGCAGGCAGAGGCAGAGAGAGAAGCAGGCTCCCCACCAAGCAAGGAGCCCGATGCGGGACTTGATCCCAGGACCTAGGATCATGACCTGAGCCGAAGGTAGCTGCTTAACCCACTGAGCCACCCAGGCACCCTATCTATTTAAATCATTTTAAGGTACACAATTCAGAGGAATTTAGTATAATCACAATGTGCATCCATTACCATCCTCTGATTCCAGAACATTTTCGTTGCCCCAAAAGGAAACCCTGGACCCATTGAGCAGTCATTCCCCAGCAACCACAAATCTGCATTATTCCCACGGATTTGCCTATTCTGGATGATCTCCTGTCAGTGGAACCACAGATCCAAGGTCTTAGACCTGCTCCATACTTCAGCTCCCCCAGTGTAGCTCTCCTCCATTGGCCAAACCTCATTCATGTGTAAGTAACAAAAAGCAGCTCTCCACCTGGAAACCTCTAAGTCATGTAGCCAGGTTAAAAATACCACGGAACAAATACTGTGGAAAACGGTCAGTGATACGGTTGCCATGGCCATGGCCATGCCTGGAGTTTCAGGAAACCAACCTGAGCTGGGCAGGAAGCCCCTTCCGGGTGGTGGAAGTAATGGCCTGTGGGCGCAATTGGCTTATCACCCTCTCCCGTGTCCTCTCCAGTCAGAGGTCTGCATTTCAGGCCACTTGTCATATAATAAACCACCAAATATGTTAGAGTGGCCTGGGTTCTTGAGGGGCAGAATCTTCCATTTGTCCTTTAGGCACGATCATCGAGCCTAAGGATTCAGGCAAACATTGGATGTCCCAGGGTTCTCGGTCTCACGCACTGGAATTCGCAGGGGATGGGTTATTCCTCACCCACTGGAGAGAGCTGCTGGCTGCCCCCTTGTAGCACCCTGTGCCCATGTGCCTCACGATTTGTGCAATCCCCTTCTGTTGGTCCATTGAATTCCCAAGATTCTCTCATCTCTGGGCTGCACCCTTCCTCGCCCCTCCACTCGATGCCTCTCAAGGCTGGGCACGCCACCACCAGGAGCTGTGCAGTCCATCTCCTTCAAGGAACTGTTTTCAGTGGGACACTCTTCCGCCCAAGAACTCGTGGTATTGTCTTCGTGTCCAAACACCTTTCTAGTTTTAGCCTGTGTCTCTCCCTCTCGATGTAGACCGTGGTCCTTCACACTTACCAGACTGGTCTTGTTCCTCTTCCCTCTCCAGCCTTTAGCTCCTGCTCCCCATGCTTGGAACCACTGCCTGCTCTCTCTTTTTTTCCCAAGACCAACGTGACTCTTCCTCAAAGCTCATCTCACAGCTCAGCACTTGTGCAGGCTTCCCTGAACCTGCCGGCACTCTTGCTGCCCACACCACATTTGCATTGCAACTCTAGGACCACAGAATTTAGAGCTGGCAACATCTTTTCCTAAAGATTTAATCACTTGGTCTTTCCCTCCCAGTCAGATGACTGGATCTTGGAGGAAATATGGTAAAGTTAAGCAAGTGGAGTGGGAAGGCACTAGACTGTGAACCATGAGGGCCAGGTTACCTGTGGGTGCGGCCACTCGTTGGCTCTGTTGTCTTGCAAAAGCTAGTTCTCTTGAACTTCAGTTCTCATCTATAAAATGAGTGGGGAAGAAGGAGGGTGCTTTAGTTTTGTGTTTGCTGCTCAATGAAGTTATAGTAGGGCGCCTGGGTGGCTCAGTGGGTTAGGCCTCTGCCTTCGGCTAGAGTCGTAGTCTCGGGTCCCTGGGATCGAGCTCCACATCGGGCTGTCTGCTCGGCAGGGAGCGGCTTCCCCCTCTCTCTCTGCTGGCCTCTCTGCCTGCTTGTGATCTCTCTCTGTCAGGTAAATTAATAAAATCTTTAAAAAAAAAAAAGTTATAGTAAACTCAGTGGCTTAAAGCCTCCCAGATGTATTCTCTTAGCGTTCTGGAGGTCAGAAGTTAAAAATGGATCTGTAGGTGATGTTCCTCCTGGAGGCTCTAGGGAGGACCTGTTTCTTCTCTTCTCCAGCTTTTGGAGGCCAGCCTTGGAGGATATTTTTCTATCATCCACAATGGGTTCTTAGGTCTCTTGTGTCTCCACGCATTTCTTCCAGTCATGTAAAGAGTTCAGCACTGTGCTAGACTCTAGACTATTAATTTCTTAATAAGTTAGTTTATCTGTGAGGATTTCCTCTTCTCAGATTGTTGCTGGGGATCCCAGGGCCTGTTAAGACTCAACCATAGAACTGTGAGCGCAGACTTTAGGATTGGTCTTGGGCTTCCGCTGACTGCACTTTCATTGGCAAACATTTGATGATGCTCTTCTTCCCCTTTTTTGATTTTCTGCTTTGCCCATTTCGAAAAAATCCTCAAAGAATTTCACCTGTTCCCCAGTAGCCAGGGGTGGCCTTTTGAACAGCTTGTTAATTTCACTGGTGATTCTGTCCTATGTCCAGTGGTCTTTCCATAAATTCCTGAATGTGTTTTCAGGTCCTCCTGCATAACTTGCCATACATGTGTTGTTAAGGTTTAGAAGGCAAATCGCCTAGGATAACTAACCTAGCTAGTTTCATCTGCGATTGCTACTAAATATTATGGTATTTCACGGGAATTTAGATAGGCATATATATGGGAGTTAGGCAATTTTTCTTGCCCTGCATCCTATCGGCTGGTGTCCCCCTTGGGTGACCACCACTTAGAAGGCAGTGAGAAAGTGGGGAGCTCAGCCGGCTCTGTCAGAGGAGTGTGCGCCCCTTGATCTCAGGGACATGGGTTTGTGCCCCATGTTTGGTGTAGAGATTACTTAATAATTAAACTTTTTTTAAAAAAGGCAGTGAGAAAACATTTGTAAAATCCACCCCCCCCATTTAATTTTGTTTTTTGTTTTTTTTTTTAAGATTTTATTCATTTATCAGAGTGAGAGCGCACAAGCTGGGGGAATGGCAGGCAGAGGGAGAAGCGGGCTCCCCACTGAGCAGAGAGCCCAATTCGGGGCTTGATCCCAGGACCCTGGGATCATGACCTGAGTCGAAGGGTAGATGCTCAACCGACTGAGCCATCCAGGCATTCCTAATTTCAAGTTTTGAGATTACTTTTCACTACTGAGGCTAAGACACACTTACAGGGTGGGTCTAGAACCTCTGAAGCCTGTGTGTTGAAGCTTTCTTTCTGTCTGCCTCCTAGATGCACCCACTGGGCCTGTGTAATAACAACGATGAAGAGGACTTGTATGAATACGGCTGGGTAGGCGTGGTGAAGCTGGAACAGCCAGAATTGGACCCGAAACCATGCCTCACTGTCCTGGGCAAGGTAAGTGCCAGGCCCTCTGAATTGATCTGCTTCCAACTGGTGTTCTCTGTGTTCCCATTTCATCAGTTCCTCACCTAGCTGGTGAGCCACGCAGGCACAGCACTCCTTCCCAGCTGAATCGTGTGGGATGAGGATGGAGACATGTCTTGTGGCGGCCCCACCATGGTGCTCCCGACCTTGGACTCTGGGAGAGCCTGCTGGCCTCAGAGTCGGCTCCCCCTCTTGGCACTCTGTGACTCTAGGCAAGTCACTTCCCCTCATGGAGTCTCAGTTTCTTACCTGTGAAATGGGTTGATGATAGAGTTGCACAGTACCTTCCACCCTTGGGGACAGAGCTTTCAGAAAGCTGAGATTTGGGGAATTTAGAAAGATATTAAGGCTGTACCTGTTTTATATTAAGTGACCCCCCTCAGGAGGTCTAGGGCCCTTCTCAGTAACTAAACACACTCACACTTGTATAGCGAAGTATATGGATATTCACATTAAGTGGGATGACTAAGAGCTAGATAGCCTCATGCTAGTTCCCTGAATTAACTTTGCCTCTAAATGAGTTCAGGTCCATTCAGTTTTGCTGCCAAGTAAGTTATGGAAAAACTTCTGGGTTTTAGAGCTTTTTTGGTTTCAGAATGGCAGACAGCAATTATGGTCCTATATTAGAACTTACCTCATAGGATGGTTAGGAGGTGAGAGGAGATGCAAACAGCCAGCAGAGTGAGCTCTCAAAAAATGTGTGCTGCCGCTGGCTGCTGTCATCCCATTTAGAAGTACTAAAAAAGACTCGTGAGCCAAAGAGGGGTCAGCATTATCTGTGGCTGCAGTGTTAAGATAGAAATAAATTTATTTTGGGAAACTATCCATCAATGATCTTAAAATATGACAGGTGACAGTCTGTTTTAAACTGGATCATTTTGTTAAAGGGAAAGGTTTGGAGAAAGATATTAAGATTTTAGTTGGGAGAAAACGTGGTATCTCCTAAGGATAGTGTTATTGCCTGGATATATGTATATTTTCTTTTATAATCTCAGAAGCTGCTGCCTAGGTACCATGGAGAGACAGCTGGGGAAAAACAGAGGTGGCTTTGATGCAGGATGCTTACCAGGGAGTCTTTCTCAGACTTGAAGAAGTCCCAGCGAGTCTCCCAAAAGACTTTTGGTCCAGGAGACTGTTACGGGTCTAATCTGTGATTTTTTTTTTTTTTTTTTTAAGATTTTGTTTATTTGACTGAGAGACACAGCGAGAGAGAGAACACAAGCAGGGGGAGTGGGAGAGGGAGAAGCAGGCTTCCCGCCAAGCAGGGAGCCCAATGCTGGGACCCTGGGATCATGACCTGAGCTGAAGGCAGACGCTTAACGACTGAGCCACCCAGGCACTCCCTAATCTGTGGTTTTCATGTCCCACTTGTCTTCTGAAGCTTCTGAGCGCTTGTCAAGTTCTCCTGCTCTTTTATAGGCAAGGGGGAAAAAAAACCAACCCAGGAATTATTACCTGTTTGGTTTACAGTTCATGAAGTCAAATCAAGGTGTTTTAGGTGACCCAGGCCCTGATACTGCATCGTTTAGTCGGCCAGACCTGCTTATGATCCTCGGAGAGCAGCGACCCCTTTGAGAATACTTTAGTGTTTTCCTAGGAGAAATGCCAGCTACATCCAAAGGTTAGGAACACTGCTTTCCTTGTGGGTAGTACACTCCTTGTATAATATTTTCTCCTCTGCTTAAGTTGCTGTTATGCGAGGCTCAGCAACTTGGCCAAATTTGCTTTGCCCCCGGCCCAGTGGAGTTCCGCCTCTGCATCTGTTGTGTCTGTAAGCGGGTTGGAACAGGGCTCCCAGGGTCGCCCCATTGTTCTTCCATGGCTTAGTGGTGTTGAGGTCACTCAGAGAACCCGATTGTTTCTTCCTCCACCTGGAACAACCATGGAGTGGTTTTACTTGAAGAGTTCTGTATGGTTTGGCCTGCCAGCCTGCAAAGCCAGGTGGTATAAAAACCCTAGACGTATCTTGAATCATTAAGTACTTCTTGGGTTTATTCATTCACCAAGTATTTATTGAATGCAGAAGCTAAGCGTGTGCAACAGCCCTCTCCCTCCACCACGTTTCTATTTGGAAAGGCTCTGTCGTGGCCAGGCGGTATTTACCTGTGGTTAGTTACTAAAAGTTGGCTTCATACTTGAAAAAAATCATTAGCAAAAATGCTTGGGCCAGACAAAGCAAGATAGTTCCACATTTGTTTAGACAAAGCAAGATAGTTCCACATTTGTTTAGAGCCTGGGTCTGTATAGGAGGTATGGTGACTCATGCATCTCTCTCTCTCTCTCTCTCCCCCCTTCCTTTTTTCCTTTTTCCCTTCCTTCCTTCCTTCTTCCTTTTTCTTTCTCATTCTAAAGTGTAACTGTTGGGACGCCTGGGTGGCTCAGTTGGTTGGACGACTGCCTTCGGCTCAGGTCATGATCCTGGAGTTCCGGGATCGAGTCTCGCATCGGGCTCCCGGCTCCGCGGGGAGTCTGTTTCTCTCTCTGACCTTCTCCTCACTCATGCTCTCTCTCACTGTCTCTCTCTCAAATAAATAAATAAAAAAAAATAAAATAAAATAAAGTGTAACTGTTCTCAGCTTTGATTTTTTTTTTTAAGATTTTATTTGTTTATTTGTAGGCAGAGAGGCAGGCAGAGAGAGAGGAGGAAGCAGGCTTCCTGCGAAGCAGAGAGCCCTATGCGGGACTCGATCCCAGGACCCTGGGATCATGACCTGAGCTGAAGGCAGAGGCTTTAACCCACTGAGCTACCCAGGCACCCCTCAACTTTGATTTTATTAAATTTGCTAACTGTGCTTCCCCTCCTTTTTCTTGAGTCCTTTTTTTTTTTTTTTTTTTTTTGAGAGAGACTAGGGTAAAGAAAAGCAAAGTGAGCCATGTGGGCAGCCCTGTCTCCTGCAGATAGCATGCTTTTCTCTCATTTCTTTGCTCTTGGTGGCTATGGCAAGAAGGTGGTGGGCAGTGGAGAGAAGCACAAAAGGAAGAAACTGCTGCCAAGTCACCGTGGGGGCGGGAGGAGGGACTGCTCCATATAGATGTTGAGACTTGCTGAAAACCCTCGAAGGGAGGACTCTGTCAGGCCTTCGGAAAAGCCTGTGGGGGAATGGGGTGGGGGCAGGGCCAGACACAGACCCCTCTCCCTCCCCCACCCACCATGCTCTGTCACCTCCCCGCCCACAGAAAATGCCATGGGGCGAAATGTTGAAACAAGAGAGGAATGTCCTAAATTAAAAAACTGTAAATGCCTCTCCAGGAGTTCAAATAAAAGTTTCATTTTAAAAGCAAAAGACATAAACTCATCACCTTAGTTTATTACTGAATTCTTTTGAACTCCTCAGAAGGGAACACTATAAACTCATGAGAGAAGAATGATTTATGATCCCCTCCTTATAATCTTTTCAATTCTGCAGGAGGCAGGGCAGACGGTAGGATCAGCTGGGGAGGCAGAGTTGGGGTGAGAGGGAGTCCCCCACAGGGACACAGCCAGCCAGGGCACCGGGCCAGGCCCTGCATCATACCAGGCGCGGAACCAATCTGTCGGCTTTCTGGGCCTCTTTTTTTCACTTCATGTCAAGAAACTGTTACGGCCTCCTTACTCTTCCACTATTTTCAGCTTCTGTGTCATTTAAGATCTTTTGAGATTCTAGTTTGGGGAGATTCTCTTTGCAGCTTTGAAAGGCATACTCGGTTGCCTGTGACAGTTGAAGTGCTGGGAAATTAAAATAGAATAAAATTGCCATTTCTGAAGAGCTTGCTACTGAAAGTAAGGGGTCGTTTTTAAACCATCCCCAAAGTACAGGAATCTGTATTTATGCTCTGGACATCTTAACCCTTCAGTTCAAAGTGTTTATTAAGCATCTTACGGGATGGGGAAGAAGTTTGAAGGTCGACTTTACTAGCTTCGGTTCCTCTGGCATCCATGTAACGGAGGGTCTCATGGCGGGAACACACGGCATGTGCTGGAGTTTCTAACAAAGCCTGCCTGGCCCAGATTCCATAAATGAAGGCAGAATTCACCTCCTCTCCTCCTCTTCCCACGTTGGAGTGGAACCTTAGGGATGGTTTGGAAAGACAGGCCTGCCAACAGGCGCGGACTGGCTCTTTCTGGTACAGGAGGACAGCGTGAGGAAATTCGTGGAAAGACAAGAAAGGCAAGGTCAAAGAGACCCAGCTCTGGCGGAGTGACCTCAGAAAGGTCCCTTCAGTTCAGGGACCCTTGGACTCCTCCGTGGGCCGTGTGTTGCCCTTGTCATTGTGTTGTGGGTCCTGCGAGATGTTTGCAGAGAGCTTTCCACAGAGCCTGGCTAGTGGTAAAATGCCTCATGGGAACATAAAAGCAGCCATCGTGTTTTGGGTGCTCGCTGAGTGCTAGGAGCTTTCCAGGCGGCATCTTTCATTGTCAAACTGACTCTGAGATCGTATCCCGATTCCCGTTTTACAATGAGGAAATTGAGTCCCGGAGAGACATTCTCTACGTGACCTAAGACCAGACGGCTCCCAAGTAGCCGACCTGAGATTGGAGATAAAGACCGGTCTATTGTCTCATCTGTGTTAGTTTCTTCCCTTTGCCCCCTTTTGTCTTCCCCAGTTTGTAGATAAAAATCGGATGCTTTTTCAGTAGCCACTGGTTTGGTTAGGACTTGGTTCCTCTTAATGGAGACCCAGCTTGAACCACGTTGAGCCAAAAGGGGATTTGCTCTCGAGGCTCCTGAGTGGCATCAGGGAACCCGTGAGAGGTGCTGCTGCTCTTCTAGAACACCCAACTCTGGGGCTCCATGCCAGCAGCTCTTCCCCAAGTCTTCTGTATATCTGCTTTCACTCCTCTCTCTCCACCTGCTTGGTAGGACACACAGCCCCCCCAGTATCCCTGGGCTTGACACTCCCTTGGTTTCGAGCCTGAAGGATTCCAGAAAAGGATTTGTTGGCCCATCTTGGATCTGGTGGTCACTTTTAATTTGGTCAGCTGTGATAGA